AATATTGTGATCGGTTCTAAGAGCGTCACTAGGCAAAATGAAGGGCTAGATTTGAGGTAGGAAGTAGGGATGTGAGAAACCCCACAGTTAATGCCTATGTTGCTAGAAAGAACCAAAAACAAGCCAGCTCCTCGGGCATCCCAGGGTCTTGTTTTCTGATAGTACTTGTGCTAGTCAGCAAATCAAGGCCTTCAGGACCCAAATTATATCCTTTGACTGTGAAGAAAGCTACAGATACTATTAGGAATAATATGATGGGTTCTTGAAGGAATGACAGGGTGGCTTCTTGACGGGAAGAGTTTGGGACACTGCTGTCAGGACACACCCTTTCTGAGGATGAGAATCTTCCTGTTTGGAATGTAGCTCTAAAGTTGACCCACTTGACATGGGAGGGGGGCAGCCTAGAGAATTACTGATCCCACCCTGTGTGATGTTAAAATTATTATTTATTTAATGCATTATTAATTTACTAATTTCACAAATCTAAGTGCCCTTTTGAAGCCAACACTCTTCAGTGCCACCAGACCAACTTATTGCTTAAATGATGCCCATGTCGTGAGATGCCATCTGTTTTTAATCAAAGAAAGTTTCTGCAAATATATCTGCAACCCGAGCCATATTGTTCATCTATGCATTTTGTTTATCTTCTCTGATTTCCCTAGTACTTAAACTTGAAGAAGAAAAAAAAGCTCACCTTATATAGTTGGAACTTAGAGACCACAAAATACAATTATGGTCTATTTATTTTTAGTTGTGACAGCTACTTGACTTGTCGAAAGGAAAGAAATTATTTTATCTCAAATGAAAAAAGTTAGTGAACTCGAAGGCATTAATTGAGGTCAGTGTTTAAGGGTAAGCGACGTCAATCAGCCGCGAAGAAAAATAAATAAATGAAATATCGGCTCTTCCCAGGCCTGAACTGGGGAGAGGAGTTGGCTTCTGTTTAGTCAGATTCGGGAAACGGATGGCGGCGCCGTCTGCATTCAGATTGTCATGCAAACCCTCTGACATGGGCCAGCGAACGCATCAAACACAGCAACATGTCAGGGGCCTCAGCCGCCAATGGACGATGCCGCACAGTGTGTGATTTTGGAGAAATCAGTCGGGAAGTTGGCTAGATGATAACTAATAAAATATGTGATCTGGAATTAAAGAATGCTGTATTCCCATCAGGTTTCAGACATTGTCACCGTGACCAGATCCATAAAGGTTATGCAAAGATGAGGCAACTTAATTGTTCACGAAGGGTTGGGAGGGGTTCCAGCAACTCTCTTCCAAGCTGTGGGTTGAGAAGGTAATTGGGTTTAATTCATCATAATGTCGTACCAGAAACGTGTTCAGTGTTTCAGAGGATGCTGGGCCGGCTTGAGACTCTATTAAACCAAGTTCCTGTCCGCCCCCGCCTTTTCTTTTACTTTTTCAAAGAATAAAGCCAAGAAGAAGGGAGAAAGGGGAAAAGTGTTCTGTTTTTTTTTCTTTTTGATCCAGTGACTTGCGTGGAGAACTTTTAATTACACAGAAGAGATAATTCAGCAAGATAGGCTCTGAGGCAGAATTGCATTGTAACTTTCTGCACGAAGAGAAGAAGGCCACGGTTGTACCTTAACTGATTTTTCTAACTGTTGGGCGACCGTCAAAGCCAGCTGTTTATGAATTAGGGAAATGAGGACCGAAATACAAAGACCTTTGGCCTCTGCCTTCAGGCGAGGAGAAAGTTGAGTCATGTTTTAGAAGCATGGGCTTGCAGTTTGCCATGGTCATTTGCCTGGTTTGTGATAGATTTAGGAGGGCATCATGGGATTTAGGAGATAGGTTTAGGATAGGTAGGATAGGATAAGGATAGGATAGGATAGGATAGGTAGGATAGGATAGGTAGGATAGGATAGGTAGGATAGGATAGGATAGGATAAGGATAGGGTAGGGTAGGGTAGGATAGGATAGGATAGGATAGGATAGGATAAGGATAGGATAAGGATAGGATAGGTAGGGTAGGATAAGGATAGGATAGGGATAGGATAGGATAGGTAGGATAGGATAGGATAGGATAGGATAGGATAAGGATAGGATAGGATAAGGATAGGATAAGATTAGGATAGGATAGGATAGGTAGGATAGGATAGGTAGGATAGGATAGGATAAGGATAAGGATAGGTAGGATAGGATAGGATAGGATAGGATAGGATAGGTAGGATAGGATAGGATAGGATAGGATAGGATAGGATAGGATAGGATAAGAGTAGGATTAGGATAGGATTAGGATAGGATGGATAAGGATCGGATTAGGATCGGATAGATTTAGGAGAGCATCATTTCAGCTTTACTCGAGCGATCTCTCTACATAGCATGAAACAGAAAATGGGAAGTTGCCTTAGATCACTTATTTCAGAAGCTGGGTCCATTCGCGTCTACTGTGTGGCACGCTCTTAAGCTTTGCCTTCCAGACGGCAAGCTTTCTCCTAAATTCAAGGCTGCCTTCTTGGGCTCAGTAGTCATCCCCTAAGGGAACTCCCACTTAGGAGTTAAAGCATTTCATCATTTAAAATCTCCCTCCTATTTGCTAGTAAGGTCTCATTCAAAGAGACTGCCGGTTTTACAGGCAGTCAAAAGATTTAATCCTAACTGGATATTCAACTTAACAGTAACACCCTTAATCTCTCTGTGCCCCAGCATTCTCACTGACTAAATCGTCGTAATGATATTTTAAAAGCACATGATAATGATTCGCAGATAAGCTATTTCTGTGACAAGGTAGATGTAATATTCAAGTTGGAGTTGTTGTCACCATTAGGAACATAAGCGGTGTGAAATATAAGCCAAGCGTGCCCTGCTTTCCAGGATGGAACCCCGTGAGGCTCATGACCAGTGCTTGCCCATCTTCCTGAAAGCCTATTGAGTCCTGGCATCACCTGTGAAGGCAGAGATTCCTTATTAAGGAGATAGGCTTGGGTAGGTCCAATTCACCTGCAATTTCTTTACTCTGCCAATAAATTGTATGGTACCGTATGAGAAAGAGTGGCAGTTTAAGTGACCCTGGCCACTGTAATGGCCTTAACATTTAAGGAGATTCACAGACCCTTAGACCCCTTAATTTTTCACACTAGAAGACCTTTGAAGAAGGAGAGAATGGATCAACCTGATATTTTTTTCTCTGCTTTTACTCAGATTAGTATTATAGTGAGCCACTAAAATACAGGTTTCAGGGTGGAAAGGGGAGAAGTGCTGAGCTAAAGCTCTCGATCCATTTTGTTCAGGACGCCTGTTCCCAAGGGTCTGGCCCAGGAATCCTCACTGATGGACCAAAGACAAGATCGTTCCAGCACAGTCTGCATACACACAGTGAATGCCTGTCTCAGAAGAAGGGTTTACCACTTTTTGAAAATATGAATTCATGAAGGATTGAACCCAATGAATGTTTACTTTATCCATAACTGAGAGATCTTAGAAATGCATGGTACTACCCTATAGAAAATGTTGTCATTTCCTTGAGAAGACAAGGCATATATGCTTATGTGAAATATTCGCACATGACGGTAAGAGGTGTTTACATGATGGAGCAAATCATATAAACTATCATGACCAAAGAGATCGCTCAGGATTCAGTTCTTGAGGTGGTTTTTGACAGCCAGGTGGTACAGGGGAAGAAGGAAGGGAGCCGGCATTCCAAGAAGCAGTAAGAGTGTGAGCCAATATGAGGACAAGAAAGGGAGTGTGCTTTGCTGTTTATCTTGGGGAAATGGGAAGCCACTGGAAATTAGTTTTGCAAAACAAACAGGATTCTTAACATGCACGGAACCTACGGAACCAGCCAAAGATGTTTACAGACATAGATCCACAAAGGTTGATGTTGCCTGAATTAACAGAAGTGTGAAACGCTGTGCATTCCTCAGGAGGGGACTGGTTAAATATCTGATGGTGGATTGGCACTGGAGCATGCTGAGGAGCAGTGGAGAAGAGTGAAGGAAATCCCTGTGGAAAGGAGGCTGCTGAGAGAGTAGAGAGAATTCATTCAGGTCATTTCCATTCGATTTGAAATTTGAGTTTTTTGAAATTCAAAGTGATGTCCGACAGCAGGAAGGTGAATGTGATGACATGGTATCAAAGAGTGAGAGGGTAATTAAAAGAGAGAGATTTCTATGACCCTCTAGAAGCCTTTCCTAAATAGAGTACCAATAGGTGAAGCTAATGTTTCTTGACCCATCATCCACCTAGGGATGTGCACATCTGAAGGCAGCACCTCCGTCTCTCTACCCCTTCCCAGAAGAGTGCTGAGTTTTCTGATCCCCCCATATCATGTTCTCGGTTTTGGCATATTGGAAGGACTCCACTTCTGGCCCTGTGAAATGTTCTTTGAGTTCGGGGAACAAAAGAAGTTTGAGGGGGCAAGATGAGGGTTGTAGGGGGGATGGGGTAGGCTTCCCTGTGAAACTCTCACGGACAGTCCTCCCTACCCTCAAAGAATGAGCAAGTCCATGAATATGATGGGGGAATTCCCGTGGTCTGGCATTTTTCTCACAAGCGCAGTGCCCCTCCTACCCC